TATTTATTTTTTTACTATTCATATGTGCATAACAGCTTGCATTTCTCCCCCTGCTCACCCCTTCCCTACCACCCACTGCCTCCTCGCCTCCTCTCCTCCCCCCCCCTTGATACCCACAGAAACTTATTCTGCCCTGTACTCTAATTTGTTGAAGAGAGGATAAAGCAATAATAGGAAAGGAACAAGTGTTTTTGCTAGTTGAGATAAGGATGAATGCTATCCCCAGGAGTTGAACTTCACATTAATTTCCTGAGCCATGGTGTTATTCTAGTTAATCTTTTGATCTAACCTTTTCTCTAGTTCTCCTGGTCCCCTTCTCTATTGGCCCTCAGTTGCTTTTAAGGTATCTGCTTGTTTCTCTCTGTTAAGGGCAACAAATGCTAGCTAGTTTTTTAGGTGTCTTACCTATCCTCACCCCTCCCTTGTGTGCTCTCGCTTTATCATGTGATCAAAGTCCAATCCCCTTGTTGTGTTTGCCATCTAATGTCCACATATGAGGGAGAACATACGATTTTTTGTCTTGGCAGGCTAACCTCACTCAGAATGATGTTCTCCAATTCCATCCATTTACCAGCGAATGATAACATTTTGTTCTTCTTCATGGCTGCATAAAATTCCATTGTGTATAGATACCACATTTTCTTAATCCATTCGTCATGGCTGGGGCATCTTGGCGTTTCCATAACTTGGCTATTTGTGAATAGTGCTGCAATAAACATGGTGTGCAGGTGCCCTCTGGAGTAAACCTGTGTCACAGTCTTTTGGGTATATCCCCAAGAGTGGTATTGCTGGATCAAATGTAGATCATGTCTAGCTTTTTTAAGTAGCCTCCAAATTTTTTTCCAGAGTGGTTGTACTAGTCTACATTCCCACCAACAGTGTAAGAGGGTTCCTTTTTCCCTGATCCTCGCCAACACCTGTTGTTGGTGGTGTTGCTGATGATGGCTATTCTAAACAGGGGTGAGGTGGAATCTTAGTGTGGTTTTTAATTTGCATTTCTTTATTGCTAGATGGTGAGCATTTTTTCATGTGTTTTTTGGCCATTTGAATTTCTTTTTTGAGAAAGTTCTTGTTTAGTTCACTTGCCATTTCTTTATTGGTTCATTAGTTTTGGGAAATTTAGTTTTTTAAGTTCCCTATATATTCTGGTTATCAGTCCTTTGTCTGATGTGTAAGCTGGCAAATATTTTCTCCCACTCTGTGGGTGTTCTCTTCAGTTTAGAGACCATTCTTTTGATGAACAAAGCTTTTAAGTTTTATGAAGCCTGCTTATCTATGCTATCTCTTAGTTGCTTGAGCTCTGGAGTTCCATTGAGAAAGTTCTACCTATACACTACTAACTCCAGAGTATTTCTACTCTTTTCCCTGTATCAACTTTAGAGTTTGTGGGTCTGATATTAAGATCCTTGATCCATTTTGAGTTAATGTTGGTATAGGTGATATACATGGATCTAGTTTCAGTTTTTGCAGACTGCTAACCAGTTTTCCCAGCGTTTTTGTGAAGAGGCTGCTTTTCTCCATCTTATATTTTGAGCCCTTTGTCAAAGACAAGTTGGTTATGGTTGTGTGGCTTCTAATCTGGTCCTCTATTCTGTTCCACTGTCTTCATGTCTATTTTTGTGCCAGTACCATGCTGTTTTTATTGTTACTTGCTTTATATAGTTTGAAGTCAGGTATTGTGATACCTCCAGCAATTGACTTTTGACTGAGTATTGCTTGGCTATTCGTGGCCTCTTGTGTTTCATATAAATTTAACGGTAGATTTTTCCGATCTTTTTAATGAATGTCATTGAATTTTGATGGGAATGCATTAAACATGTAGATTACTTTTTGGGAGTATAGACATTTTTACTATGTTTGATTCTACCAATCCATGAGCATGGGAGATCTCTCCACTTTCTATAGCTCTCCTCAATCTCTTTCTTCAGAAGTGTATAGTTTCCTTGTAGAAGTTCGTTCACATCTTTGTTAATTTACACCTCGGTATTTGATTTTTTTTTTGAGGCTATTGTAAATGGAATTGTTTTTCATATATTCTTTTTCAGTTTGTTCATTATTAGTGTATAGAAATGCTAATGATTTTTCTATGTGATTTTATATCCGCTACCTTGCTGTAGCTTATTGATGATGTCCTAAAGCTTCTGAGTAGAGTTTTTTTGGGTCTTCAAGGTATAGGATATGTTCGTCTGCAAATAGGGATATTTTACAGTTTCTTTATCTATTTGTATTCCTTTTATTCCTTCTTCTTGCCTAATTGCTCTGGCTAGGAATTCCAATACTATGTTGAATAGGAGTGGAGATAGTGGGCATAACCTTGTCTGGTTCCTGATTTTAGAGGGAATGGTTTTCAGTTTTTCTCCATTAGTATAATGCCTGGCTGTAGGTTTGTCATATATAGCTTTATAATGTTGAGGTACTTTCCTTCTATTCCTAGTTTTCTTAGAGCTTTTCAGAATGAATGTTGGACCTTATCAAGGCTTTTTCTGCATCTATTGAGATGATCAAGTGGTTTTTGTCTTTGCTTCCTGTTAATGTGGTTTATTACGTTTATTGATTTTCATATGTTGAACCACCCCTGCATTCCTGGGATGAAGCCTACTTGGTCCATGTGAATAATCGTTTTTGAAATGTGTTGTTGAATTTGGTTTGCCAATTATTTTCTTGAGGATTTTGCATCAATGTTTATTAGGAGATTGGCCTATAGTTCTCCTTTTTACGAGTGTTCTTTTGCCTGGTTTTGGGGATAATAAGTGTCATACGCGCTTTCAAAATAAAATGTGGTAGTCCAGTTTTTCCCTTCCACTGTTCTATTTTCGTGAAACAGTTAAGGTAGGTTGGTTCAGTTCCTTTAAAAGTCTGATAGAATCAGGCATACAATCCATCAGTCCTGGAACTTTTCCTTTTGCGGGAGACTCTTGAATTCTGCTTCAATTTCCTTTTGTTGGTTATAGATCTATTCAGTGTGATTAATTTCCTCTTGTTCAGTTCTTGGATGATCATATGTATCTAGAAATCTGTTCCATTTCTTTAGATTTCAAATTTATTTGCATATAGGTTCCTCGAAGTAGTCTGTGAGATTTTCCTGACTTCATGTATTTGTTTTGTTATCTCCCCTTTTTGCATTCCCTGATTTTACTAATTTGGGTTTTTTTCTCATCCTCATTTTAGTCAGGTTTGCCAGGGTCTGTCGATCTTCTTCTTTTTTTTTTCACAAAGACCAACTTTTTGTTTCATTCTTCTTTGTATGGTTTTTTGGTTTTCTAGTTCATTGATTCAGCTCTTATTTTTATATTTCTCTTTTGGGATTTGCTTGTTCTTGTTTTTTCTAGGAGTGTTTGAAGATTCTCATTAAGTCATTGATTTGGGATCTTTTTCAGTCTTTTTAATAATGCTCTGCCTGGCTTTATAAACTTTCCTCTCAGGACTGCCTTTGCTGTGTCTCCATGGTTCGTATAGGTTTTGTTGTTTTCATTTTCATTGACTTCAGGAAATTTTTAAACGTCCTCTTTTATTTCATCAATGACCCATTGTTCATTAAGTAATGAGTTACTTAGTTTCCAGCTGTTTGCATGGTTTTTGTCTTTACTTTTGTTGTTGAGTTCTAGTTTTATTGCATTGTGATCAGATAGTAATGCATGTTATAATTTCTATTTTCTTATATTTTCTGAGGCTTTCTTTTGCCCTAGGATATGATCATTTTGGAGAAGGTTCCATGGGCTGCTGAAGAAAAATGTATATTGTGTAGAAGTGGATGAAATGTTCTGTAGACATTAACTAGGTCCATTTGATCATTGTATATTTTAGATCTAGGATTTCTTTATTGATTTTTTGTTTGGATGAACCTATCTATTAATGATAATGGGTGTTAAAGTCTCCACAACCACTGTGTTGGAGTTAATATATGTTTTTAGGTCTTTCAGGGTATGTTGATGAAATTAGGTGCGTTGACATGGGTGCATATAGGTTGATAATTATTATTTCCTTTGGTCTATTTCCCCTTTATTAGTATAGAATGTCCTTCTTTATCTCATTTGATCAATGTAGGTTTGAAGTCTACTTTGTCAGAGATAAGTATTTGCTACTCCTGCCTGTTTTTCAGGGGCCATTGGCTTGGTAAATCTTCTTCCAGCCTTTCATCCTAAACCTATGCTTATTTCTGTCAGTGCGATGTAGACCATTTTTTGTCCTACCCCAGTTTCCTGTCCCCATCCACCCAAAACCTCTTCCCAAAGATAGAAGCTCTTGATTCCTACCTGACTCCAAGCTCAGAAGCTGTCCTGGCCTCCCTGGTGACAATCCAAAAGTCCTTTTCTTTATGCTTATCTTATCTTTCTGAGTTTTCTATAATAAACAATTAAAAACCAGTTTTCATAAACCAAAGCATGATTTTAAGGAATTTAAGGATCACTAATTCAACATGCAAGTAGCATGTGGTTTTGCCATTTGTTGCCTCCTTGTTCTTTTTTTTTTTTTTTTTTTTTTTTTACTGTACTGGGGATTAAACTCAGGGCCTTGTACTTATGAGGCAGGCACACGCCTCTTGAGCTATGCCCTAGTCCTCAGTCTCTCCTTATTCCAACTCATGGTATGGATTACCAGCCACATACTAGGCCTTCCTGGTGTGGAATTCTGTCCTACTCCCTCTGCAACCAAGGAAGATAGAGCTTTCCAGTTAAAACCTGCCTTTGCTACTGTCATCTATGAACTGGGAGCCTCTTAACTGCTAGCTATTTCTCTGG